CCCAATAAGGAACGGGAAGCAACCAGAAGCCTTAGGGATGAATGGACTCACCTGCATATGTTTTATGGGCACCGGCCCTAAAAGAAAGCTTCATAGAATCCATAGGTGCCTGACTAGGGTTTGAATCGCAATGGCTTGAATGTGATATGTCCGCATTAAACCTGGAGACTGTCCAGGTTTATAAAGAAACACGTTTGTGTCTGGATGGAGAAGGAGGAAAAGAATGGGCATTTGAGGAGGCCAAACAGATGAGCACCATCTGTGGCAGTAGCTCCTAGGAAACCCGATGCATCTAGACATCAGGATGCTTCCTCTCAGGATGATCCCACACCCCCAGAGGCAGGTCCTGTCCTTCCCTACAGGACTTAGTATTATCTGCGGTTCCTATGAGCCCTCATCATCCTTCATGTTGGGACTGTTTTTCTTCCCAGAAGTTCTGATGGGAAATGCTACAAAGTCATGAAAGGTAAAAAGGGGAAATGAAACTGTAATATTCTGTGCTCTCTAAAAAATATAATGCCTATTACTATCCAATTTCATTTCATAAAACAGCTTGAAAAAGAAAAACACAACTTTCCCTAGTAAGAGAGCATACTCCCAGTTCAAGAAAGCTTAGTAGAATACATGTTTACCTTTCTACCTCCCCAGAATCACTCTGAATTGTCAGGGAAATGGAACAGGGTGGCAGAATCTTAGCTGACACAGGCATGGCTTATTTTATTTCAGTTTGCTTTATTGCACTTCACTTTATTTGCACTTTCACAGGTGTTGGAGATTTTACAAATGGAAAACAAGAAGACCCTCCCCTACTAGGGAAGGCATCGGGTATATGGTGGGAGGGCAATGATTCACCAGGGAACCTGTATGCATTGTGCATAACCATGGACACCAATAATTGAGTGGTGAGGGCCTGGAGGGGTGGGCACCAGGGTGAAGGGGATCAATGGGGAAAACATACGCATACAAACACAGGACATCTGTAATACTTTCAACAATAAAGATACTTTTTAAAAAAGACCCTCCACCAGCAAAAAGATTATGACTCATTTTATCACAGAAATCTGGAACTGAACCCCCAATATCTCTGAGGCAGGCCTTACATGCTTGTTGTAGAAACAACGGGAAAATGAAAAGATGCCATAAGGAAGCATTTAAGTTGTCTTTCAAACACAACTACATCAGATGTAACAATTTCTAAAACATTTTCCTTGGAAAATGAATCCACTTTTTAATAAAATGGGAACATACCATTCTGTAATTCTTTTCTCTGAGCTGCACAGCCGGTGTTAATGAATAATTTGTGGCATAACTTTCACTGGCTGTAAAGTGCTCTGTTGCTGGGCTAATGTCAGGTAGGATGCTTGGAGCAGAGGTAAGTGTGCAAACAGCTGAGGGAAGTAACCAAGGGCATTAATGGTCTCACCCAGCTCCCAGCTCAGAGGTGTCACTGAGGATACGTTCTTGCCTCAGCCTTAGTTTGTTTTGCCTCAGGCCTGTCTCAGGGTCAGGAAGCTGCTGCTGTAACTGTCAGCTTCCCATCTTCGCAGAACTGCATCCAAGAGTCAGGACAGGCTATTTCTCCAAACAGCTGAGGGAAGTAACCAAGGGCATTAATGGTCTCACCCAGCTCCCAGCTCAGAGGTGTCACTGAGGATACGTTCTTGCCTCAGCCTTAGTTTGTTTTGCCTCAGGCCTGTCTCAGGGTCAGGAAGCTGCTGCTGTAACTGTCAGCTTCCCATCTTCGCAGAACTGCATCCAAGAGTCAGGACAGGCTATTTCTCCTCATATCTCTGATTTGTCAGGGAGGAGAGTATTTCCCGCAGCCAGGGCCAATCGCTGCCCAGCCCAGGGGAAGAGGCTTTTATTCCTACCCCCCACGCCCCCACCCCAGATCTTCCCAGTGCCCTGGGGCCAGTTGGGCAGAGGCCCACTAGGTCCTTTCTCCAGCTGGAGGCCTGGCTGATTGCCTGCAACCTACACAGCGCCCTGGTGCTGGGGGCCTGGAGGGCTGGGGAGCCCCGCGCTGTCACAGCGGGCCGTGGCGACACACAAACGTGTGCACACGCTCTCTGCCCTCGAGGACAGTCACCGGCACTGAGTGTGGTGATCTCATGACCCGGGCCCGAGTATTTTTCCGGAGGAGGACCTAGCAGCAGTTGTCTTCAGGGGACTCCATGTTTGGAATTTACAGGGAAAAGGAGGAAATTTTCGTAGATTTCCCCCTTGCTCTGTCCTTGTTAAGGAGGGGCTGGCAGTGGTCTTTGTCCTCTCCTCATGCAGGGCTCACTTGTGCTATCCGGACAAAACAGATCTTTCTGGATTCTTCCTACCCCTGCGTTTTTTCTTTAAAGATGGGAGATCGGTTAATATCATAGTAGAGAGATGTAAGTGACTTGAAGGGTAGACAAGAGAATTCTATTCTATATGTACGCATTGCAAATGAAACATGTGAGGTGCCTTATTTGCAATTCTGTTGGTTATTGTAGAGACTCCTATATTTCTATCTGACAGGGATATTTCCAGGGGAGGAGAATTTTGGTTAGTTTACAGGGCGACTCTGCCTCCTGACTTTGGTGAAATATATCAAACTCTCCCACTAGTCTGTGAAAGACTATCTTCCCTGCTAGGTTCTTGGGTTCAAAGGCATTTTGTGAATTACCTCCTGTTCAGCACCTAAGACTCAAAGCATCATCTGTTTTGTTGCTTCTGGTAATGGGTGTAGAGGGTGGACCCACAGAGAAAACACTCAGATCCCTGACTTCATGCGCTCAGATAAAGCCCTGTCCTTGGCCTGTGTGCAGCCCTGGGTGACACCCCCATGCTTCCCTGGAGGCCCTGAAATTTCAGGGGCAAAAAGAAATCCAGGGGCAGGAAGAGACTATTCTACCCCAAGGAGTGCTCACCTGGAAGGCCCAGCAGTAGAGTCAGCAGCAGGCAAGGAGGAGGGCGGGGCCAGGAGGCAGGGATGGGCATCCTGGAGGCCTGAGGGGCCTGCTGTGTCCAAGTGTATGCCCGGAGGACCCGGACTCTCTGCTCTGAGAGAGGAGTGAGGCCCCAGCTGTGTGATATAAGAGGAAGTGCCTAGGAAGGGGTAACAAGACTGTGACACAGTAGCCAGCCTCTATATTCTAAATAGTTTCTGATTGTGAAATAATCAGTCAGAGAAGCAACCTCAGGGTGAGCAGTTACTCATCTTAGTTTTCAGAGGGACTTGGACAGGCCTCCAGGGAGTAGTGCTCAGGGCCTCTGCTCTCTACTGGCCCCTCAGCTCATCTGAGGTTCATGGTGATACCCTATCCAGGACCCTAGGATGTTGCTGGCTTATGGCCTCATCTCGCTCACCCTCAGGAAGAGCTACTCATTGGAGGAAGGGAGAGGGCTCATCAGAACCGGGTCAGCATTGGGATGGAACCAGGTCCTCTTCTGAAAGACCTTCTAGTCCAACCATTTACTGATGGGACTGGAAAAACTCCACCCAAATGGACAGTGTGGGGCGGACCTCAGAACTGGTATGTGCCTATTTGCAACAAAAGTCATAATATCTTCACATCTTTCTGGAAAGCACGTGTATTATATGGCCACATTTATACACCCAGGGGTTTATCTCAGAGAAATGCAACTTATGTCCATACCAAACGCTGTGAGCGAAATAAATCCACTTTAAGGATTTTCTCTTTTAGCAACTTTCAATTATACAACCCAGTATTGCTAGCTGTAGTCACCATGCTGGATATTATATCCTCAAAACATATTTATCTTATAACTAGAAGGTTGTTCATTTGACCACCTTGGCCTATTCCCCACTGAATGAGCCCCCTCTCACAACCACCAATCTTTTCTCTGTGTGTGAGTTTTCCCTCAACCCCCAGGTTCCACAAATAACTGAAATCATACAGTATTTCTTTCTCTGCCTGACATCACATTGCATAATGCCCTGAAATTCCATTTATGTTGTTGCAAATGGCAGCATTTCCTTCTTCCTTTGGATGAATAACATTCCATTCCATACATACGTTTTCTTATACATTTACCCACTGAGGGGCACTTACATTACTTGCTTGATTTGTATATTGTAAATAATGGTGCAGTGAACATGGGGTTGCACATACCTCTTCATGGTAGTGATTTCATTTTCTTTGGATGTAGACCTGGGGGTGGAATGGCTGGGTCATTAGAACTTTCGATTAATTTTTTGAGGCCCCTTTATACTGCTTTCCATGGTGGCTGCACCAAACCTCTGATTGGATGAATTCCATGTCCTTTTTTTTTTTTTTTTTTTTTATCTTTCCAGGGGAGTTCTGCCCTTCCCGGCTGCAAACCATCTCACCAGCTGAGCAATTTCGCCAATTCGGGGTGGGTGTTATTAGTTTCAGCTGCTCACTCCATTTATTCTCCACCTTTGTGATTTGTGTTTGGTACTTCTCATAATTAAAAAAAACCCATATATTTTATTATTGATAGTATTAGAGATATCTCCCATTTCTTCTCTTTAACCCCCTGTCTTCTAACAGCCTCCCTGCCCCCTGCCCAGGTCTTCACTACTCTATTGTCCGTTTCATGGGCCAGACATATCCTGTATAATAAAAGCCTAATATGCTAAGTGTCTGGTCATCCAGTTGGCCATTCAACCAATCAAAGCGTAATATGTTAATGATATGCTAAGGCTGCTCAACTGCTCGCTATGACATGCACTGAACACCAGGGGGCAGACTCGCTGACCAGTAGGTTAGCTTGCTGCTGGGGTCCGGCTGGTCATGACTGAGCGAGACAGGCTGGATATGCTCTGGATCCCTCCTAAGGTTCCTCCCCTGATGGCCAACCTCCTGCATCCCTCCCCAGCACCAATCGTGCACTGGTGGGGTCCCTTGGCCTGGCCAGCGATCAGGGCCAATCAGGGCAAGGGACTGCGGGAAGTCCCCTTGAAGGATGTCAGAGAGCCTGTTTCAGCCCAATCCCTCAGGCCTGGCCAAGGGACCCAATTGGTGCATGAATTCATGCACTGGACCTCTAGTAAGTATATAAGTTCTTTGGCTCTCATATTTTGTATCTCTCTGTTGAAATTTTCACATTGTGCAGCCTTGTTCTCCTGGACAGGTGAACATCGTTATTAGAATTTAAAAAACTACCAGGTAAACATTAAGGTGCATTTCTGGAGTTTTATTTAATTCTTTGGGGTGGTGTTTGATACACATTCCTCCATGTCCTCATGTTCCTTGACTCTCTAGGTTGGTTTCTGTGCGTGAGAAAAAAAAGGCGCCTCTTCCCATCTTGGTGGCGTGCTCTGTTGCAGAAGATGAACGTCGCTCAGCCCTGTTCTAGCACTCGGCTGTCTCTCCAAACTTCGTGATTATCCAAACTGCCTTCTTTGTTCTCTGTGGCTCCCAATAGCTGAGGCGCCATTTCATTGTCCAGAGGGG